GGGGGAGTGAGGTGATAAGACGAGTGAGTTAATGAATGGGTGGAGGGATGGATGGCCTTTCAGCTCTCTGTGATTTTTCTGTCTGTCTGGTCATTGTGTCGTCCCGGAAACTGCTGCGGGACACACCCTGGTTGTTGCCTGACACCATGAACCGTGCATACCCCTGCCTGAATCAACTAACTCATCTGTCCGTGCGTCTGTCTGCATGTTTCCTCTCGATGGATGGGATGGGTGATGGAGCTGTCACTCGCTGACCCGAATGGGCTGGGGTGTGCGTGGGAGTCTGCGTCGATGAGTGACAAATGCTGCATGAATGAACGGAAAGGATGAATGTTTGAGCTGCACGAAAAGGCGGTCTGGGATACATGCTTTGAGTGGATAAGGTCCATTAAAACTGGGCTGTGCGGTTTGTCTGTCCATGGATATACATACATACGTATCTTCGCGATCCCACCCCTGGTGTCGCTGACCATACGTGTCTTTGCCATCCCACCCCTGGTGTCGCTGACCATAACCCCGTCCAGCTGCCCAAGCATGCCAAAAAAACCCCGTCCAGCTGCCCAAGCATGCCAAAAAAGTCAAAAGGAAAGGACGTCACGACGACCCCCCCATGGACCATAGTCACACAGTCAGTCAGTCAGTCACTCACCGTACTCGACGCACGCCAAGCCGACTAGCTGTGGCTGGACAACCTACTCTTACCATCCGTCCATCCATCCATCGTACATGATATACGATACGTACATCAGCACACGCACACACACACACCAGTGCGCACAAACGAGGCTGCCAGAAGGCAGCACGAGTGGCACAACACTGATGCTTTTCGTCCTCGCCTGCCCCTGCATGCCAGCCCTCGCTTGTGTGCCGTATCGCTAACACACCCAGGCATGAGGCCGATGAATAAAAACGAGACAAACAAGAAAAACGACAAATAGGTCAGTCAGTAGTCAAGATGGATGGCTGGCAGGGCACCGCGAGCATCGCATCCGTGGCATGCCACGGATGCGTCCATGCATGAGCTGTCTGCCTTGCATCCGTACGATGAGTCTGAGAGGGCGGGTGTCACCCACTCCAAGAAAGGGGTCCCCGCTCCCACACTGTCTGGCTGGCTGTGTGACCTGGCAAAGTGACGTAAGAAAGAAAAATGAGATGACAGGACTCAGGACAGGACATAGGACATGCCCAGGAAGCGGCTCGCAAGACACTATGTCGACTGGCTGGCTGACGGACCAACCTGTCTGGGCATCAGCACGCAGGCACACATCACTCACATACACCACACGACACGCAGCCAAACAGACATCAGTCCCCCCTCAGCGCCCTGTATCCGCCCTTCTTGCCGCCGTACGAGTAGCTCTTCTTGGTGTGAGTCGGGGTCTTCTTGGGCGGCGGGGTCTCCTTCTTGGGTGGCGGCTCCTTCTTGGGCGCGGGCGTGGTGGTGACCTTCTTTGGTGGGGGTGGCGCCTTCTTGCCGTAATAAGAGGAAGAGCCGTGACCCCTGCCGAGCTCACGCGCGTCGGCATCTGCACCACACAGACAGACAGACAGACACAGACAGAGACAGAGAGAGGGGGAGAGTGAACAATGAGTGTCACGCCATCCATCCATCCATCCATCCATGTGTGTGCGGGCGGGCGGGCCGTCAACCGTGCAATGTGTGTGCCATGATACACGTACGTACCGTCAGTCACATCCTCCTCCTCGAGTTCCCTGTATCCGCCCTTCTTGCCGCCGTACGAGTAGCTCTTCTTGGTGTGAGTCGGGGTCTTCTTGGGCGGCGGGGTCTCCTTCTTGGGTGGCGGCTCCTTCTTGGGCGCGGGCGTGGTGGTGACCTTCTTTGGTGGGGGTGGCGCCTTCTTGCCGTAATAAGAGGAAGAGCCGTGACCCCTGCCGAGCTCACGCGCGTCGGCATCTGCACCACACACAGACAGACAGACAAGACAGA